AGTCAGAATCAACAAGAGTATATATAATAATATTGTAAGGTATGGATCCTTTTGTGGGTTTGATCCGTCGATTAAAGTCCAATAGAGAGAGAGAGAAAGAGAGAAAGAAAGAGAGAGAGAGAAAGAGAGAGAGAGAGAGAGAAATAGTGTTATATATAGGTTTTAAAATAAATGGACCGTTGTTCGTTCCTTTTCGTTTTGTTCGTGCGTGCAACGTCGTTCGTTTGTTCGTTCGTTCTAAAGAAAGAGAAAAAGAAAGAAAGAAAAAAAAAGGAAACAAAAAGAGAAAAAAGGGGGAAAAAAAAAGAAAAAGAAAAAAGAAAAAGAAAAGAAACAAAAAATAAAAGATCCATGACGCGTCGAACGAAAGGAAAAGTGGTCTGCCAGGTTCGGAGGAAGGAGCTCTCTTACTCCGATCCATCTTGATCCTCTTTCAGGATTCGTCCTCGATAATTCGTGGAAACGCCAAATTCTTTTGACAGGTACCTTCGAATATATTGCTTTCTTTTAACTAGTCTCGACGAAGATAAATGAAAATGCGATAAATTTTCTATCCTAGGGAGTAACAGGCGTTGTTAACGTTGTAGCTTAGGTTCAGGTAAGGAGAGTTTCGCAGAAGAGTGGTGGTGGGGGTGGGAGGTGGGGGTGGGGGGAAGGCGAGACTGAGGGTCTTGGGGACTGAAGGGGGTGGGAGTAGAACGTGGTTGTGCGTTTCGTCGAATAAAGGCCACCTGCGAGTGCAAAGAGAGGAAAAGAGAAAGAGATAGATAAAGAGAAAGAGAGAGAGAGAGAGAGAGAGAAAGAAAGAGAGAGAGAGAAAAGAAAGGGAGCTGTAGTTTTCTACCTTCCTGGAGGTCTCTCGATTTCGTTTCACGGGCGGAGAAATGAATCGAAAGTCAGTCTCTCTTCGACGTTCCTTTTTCTTCGTTTCTTTATTTCTTCCTTTCCTTCTTCCTTTCTTTTTCCTTTTTTCTTTTTCCTTTTTTCCTTTACATCAACGATTCCAAGAAATATCCCAAGAAGTTATTTCAAAGGATCGAAAGTCTTATTACACGATATCCCGATTATATCGATTCACGAGTAGCGAAAAAAAAAGAATTAGGATCTGCAAGAGAGAGAGAGAGAGAGAGAGAGAGAGAGAGAGAGAGAGAGAAATCGCAGAGCTAAGGATTATCGAATCGTTCGAAAGAAATTAATTCAGAAATCATAGTAAGAGGTAGGGAAGGGCGGGAGGTGGGAGGAGGAGGAAAAGGAAGAGGAAGAAAAGAAAAAAGAAAAATATACATAGGGAAAACTTTCGTGGAATATACGAGACTTAGGTAGATACGTGAATAAGGGTGGAAGGTTGCTGAGGATGATGTTGTTAATGCGATAGCGCTTAATGGATCTAATCTTTTTAATAAAATTGTCCTTGCGATATTGTACGACCTGAAAGGAAGGAAGTAATGAAAGAAGAAAGGATCGAAGGGATGAAAAATAGGGAAGAGATGTAAATTACATGATTACTATTAATACGATGCTTTTTCATTTTTCACTCTCAATAATATAATAAGGAAATTTCGTTCTATGTCAAATTCATTCTCGACGTCGAGGGACCCTCCCTGGCGTTGAGTTCTCGATCGGACGAGGGAAGAGAAGAGCAATGAGAAGGGACGACATGGAGGGAGAGCCCTCGAACAAGGACACGTCCGTTTTCTCGTTTCTGCTGTGTAAAAGAAGAAAAGAAAAGAAAAAAAAAAAATTCTTTTGCATTGCGTGCACGCGTGAATATGTGCGTGAGTTCGTTCATTCCTTCTCTCATTCGTTTAGATGAGAAACGAGAAAAGAGGAAAGGAGGTATCGTCTTTCGATTAAATACGATCCACAGGTCCACCATTTGTAGACCTACCATCAACTATCAGTCGTTTCCGTTTTTTTCTTTATTTTTTATCTCTTTATCTCTTTATCTTTTTCATTCTCTCTCTCTCTCTCTCTCTCTCTCTCTCTCTCTCTCTCCTTTTTTTTTTCTTTTATTCTCTCTTATTCGTGAAAGAGAATGCTTACGCACGTTCACGCATCTACGCAAGCAAGCTCTTTTCGTAGCAAACGACTCCATTGTTGCAGACATTTTTCGAATATCCTCGACGATTCTCCTTTTCGTCTTGTTAAATGAGACGTCTAGTCGTCTAGTCGTAATCGAAAACTACAAACGAAAGATGTAATAAGAGATTAGAGTGACGAAAGTTAGAACGACCAGAGAAGATATTAAGCATTCTATCTTACATATATATATATATATATATATATATATATATATGATTTGGTAATATTGTCGACGATCTTCATTATTATTTTTATCTTAACGACCGAGGAAGGAATTTTCAATATATACATACATACATACATACATACATACATACATACATACATACATACATACATACATACATACATACATACATACATACATACATACATACATACATACATACATACATACGTATAAAGCATAAATATGTTATGTTATTCTATTTGTCCGATCATTAAATCTGTTGACAACATATATCAATTGAACTTTAAAAAGAGCAAGAGTCCACGTCCAGTAAATATTATGAACATACGTAATATCATTTCCATGGCCATCAGTATGCTTTCTACGTTGACCTTCATCTCTTTCGGTTTGGTTTGGATTGAATTTTTTTTTTTCTTTTTTCTTTTTTTTTTCTTTTTTTTGATCGATCGATCTATTAAACAGAAAATGTACGTAAGGAATCTAGAAATCAAAATAATCGAATAAATCTTTAGATATTGAGAATTATTTTATTTTGACAAGACGAATCATCGATTTTCAAGGAATTATTCGATATTTATTTACCGTTTCGTAAGGGTCTATATTTTTCGAGCTTTTGAAATTGTTTCTTAATGAAGTATATTATAGATCATGGAAAAATTTTCACGATTTAATACGTCTTGAACTTTTTGACTTGTTATCGTCCTTTTGATTCTCTCTCTCTCTCTCTTTCTCTCTTTCTCTCTTTCTCTTTCTCTCACTTTCTCTTTTTTTCTCTCTTTCTTTCTTTCTTATTCTCTTTCTCTTTCACGTTCTCTCTCAGTTTATATTTTGAATTATAGATATTTACCATTGAGATAAGAGATCAAAATTATTGAATTTTATATATCTTTCTGGACGACAATGTCTGTTGCACGGTATACCATAAGTGCGTATACAGCAAGGTTTCCAACTTGGTTTTTGTGGTATCGGTGGAATTATGCAAATTTTATAAGGAGAACTCGGTGGACATATGTATTTTGGTGGGCAGGATCTTTCAGGAGGGCATGGTCTCATTGGACATCCAGAACATGGTTGACAGGACTAAATCGAAATGAAGGAATTTATTATGATTTAATGAAGATCGATATATCGAAAAAAAAAGAAAAAAAAAAGAAAAAAAAAAGAAAGAACAGTTAGTAAGGTTAAGAAACATCAATCGTTCCTTTTTTGACATACCATTGTTTATCGTTGAAAAATTTTAGAATTTATACGGATTAATCTATTCAATCTTTTTCTTCTCGAACAAACGTAGACATATTTCAATTGAACATTTTGACAAAATTTTTATATATCAAAGATATTGAAAATGTTGATTATAATGTCGGCAAATGGTGCCGCTCAGTTGGCTTATGAAACGGAATTGGTTTTACGGAGTGAAACGTATCGATTTCTCTCAAGTTCGACTCGCTCTGGCATCATCTCGCGTTTTTTGTTTACGCGAAAATATCAGAGCGCGCAGGGCGACCTCGAGAGATTGCGACGAACCCGCAAAACCTGACCTGCATTAACGTGGCATCGCTTGTGCTGCGATATTCGGAGGTATCCGCAACGAGACCTTGGCTCCGAAACACCGAAACACAGATTCCACGACGGGGACGACTTTTCCTCTCTCTTTCTTCGTCGTCCGTTTTTTCCTCTTTGTAAAACCGACGTTCTCGAATTTACTCGAATTCGAACGGACGCCGATCAAAACTTGCGAAACTTTGGAGGAACCGTCGAAAGTTTTTAAATAAACAACAACAAAGCCAAAAATACATATATATGTTACATACGTAAATACATAATATTGTACGACTATGTATTTTCAGTTGAACGTTGAAACGAGGACTTTGAGAAATGTGAAAGAACAAAAAAAAAGAAAAAGAAAAAACAAAAATAAAGAAAGAAATAAAGAGAGAAAAAAAAGAAAAATAATAATAAAAAAAAAAAAAAAGAGAAAAAGAAAAAAGAAAGAAAGAAAAGAAAACTTGACGTTCAGAGAGCCATTTAAATATCGTAATGATTTCTATTTTCAACGAACGCGCGTGCGGTCGCAATGAATAAATGTTCCTAGCTTCCTTTTACGGTCGATACTTTATTAATTTTTATCCGTAAAGGTGAATTTCCTGTTCGGAATCTATACGATACATAATCAAGCACGCATATAATGGGATACTTGGAAAGAAAAAGCTAAGGAGCTAATTATGCGACGCACGTTGAATCGTCTTCGAACCATTTCCTGCGATTATAGCGTTTATATCACAATGACGTTCGAAGGGGTGGTTACGTTCATTATGACGAACACGCCTTTCCAGAAATACACTTTGAGAGAGAGAGAGAGAGAAAGAGAGAGAAAGAGAGAGAAAGAGAGAGAGAGGGAGACTGTACGGAATTTGTTCTTAGCGACGAATGATAGGAACAGATTTCTCGGTAATCCCCTCGAACGTTGTCGACAATTATCAATTCGATATGTCCGAAGATTAGCGAGAAACATACAAAGCTGACAATGATTTTTTTTCCTCGCACTTCATATTTTCTCAATTTATATATATATTACGTTAATTCGTACAATTTTATTTTCGTTTTGGTTTCATTTCGTTTTCATTAAAATCCACACGTTCATTCCGTATCATCGATTATTCTTAGCTTGTAATATGAATAATTAGGCTTCTTGAAATTCCGTGAGTAAATGTGAGAAATTTTTGCGTAGGACACAAGAAAGAAAAATGAGTTAACGATTGCATAAGGAATCGTTGAACAAATTTAGAACGCGCGTCATCGGATGGACCCCAGCGATACGGCACATGAGAGGACGTTGATCGCGGGTGGTGTATGGAAACGGGCCCAAGGTTACCAAATGGAGACTGCCCAAAAACCCAAATACATACAATTATATCGGACGATTGGGCACGAGCTATGTATACGTCTAGCAACGAATCTCTTTTGCTTGCGAAAGGACCACCCCACTCCCATCACCATCATCGGCCATTAACTTTCGTTACAGTATACAAGTCTCAAGGTCATTTTCTTAAAATTCATCGTTACGTTAGATGGATCATATTGAATGTCGTTAACCAATATCGATTTAATCGATCGTGAATTAATATAGGATCGATTGACTTTTCGTCCTATGACATCGTAGAAAAGTAACATCCGAATATATCGTGATGAATACATATATACATACATATATATATATATATATATATATATATATATATGTACATACTCACTTTATATACTTAGGAATAAAGTGATCGTATAAGAAGCATCGTAGAAGAAAAACTCTATAGGTTTGTTACATCATAGGTAACCTTGGTTCTGGCGTAAACAACTTCTAGAAAGCAAGTTCAAACGCCTGTCAAACTGCTGAACACATTCTATAGTACGTATATAAATACCCCAGGATATATCTGAAAGTTCGTTGCCCAGCGACATTTCGTGTATTTCTTTCTTTCTATTTCTTCTGATTGTTATTTTCTTTTCCCCCTTTTCTCTTTTTTTTTTTTTTTTTTTTTGGATTTTTCTCTCGGAATTATAACAATAAATAGAACAAGAAGATGAAAATGGTGAAAGAGATAATGACGAAGTAAATAGATAATGATGAAGAAGAGCAGAAAGATTCGCTTCCACTTTAATGAAAATGAAACGGACGTGATACGATACGTAATGACAAAGAGAAGAAGAATAAGAATAATAATAAGAATAAAAAGAAGTAGAAGAAGAAGAAGAAGAAGAAGAAAAAGAGAAAGAAAAAGGAGAAGATGGAGAAGGTGAAAGAGGTGGAGATGATGATGATGATGATGATGATGATGATGATGGTGGTGGTGGTGGTGGTGGTGGTGGTGGAGGAGGTGTATAAGAAGGGATAACAAAAAAAAAGATATAGAAAAGGATAGAGAACGTAGTAGTGCGACGCACGTCGTCTTATCGGAAGCGACGCAGGTGTCCTCCGTTAAGAGAATACTCAGCGAAAGGCGAAAGGGTTAACGATCTTCCTCTTTCCGTGTACAAGTACGGGAATGAGATAGGACGCGTGCGTTCGCGCGAACGCACGCGCACGCTCCTCTTGTCTTCTCTTTTGCTTTTTCTTTTTCTTCTTCTTCTTCTTCTTCTACTACTACTACAACTACTACTACTACTATTACTACTATTATTATTACTACTACTACTACTTCTTCTTCTTCTTCTTCTTCTTCTTCTTCTTCTTTTTTTTTTCTTCTTTTTCTTTTTCTTTTTCTTTTTCTTTTTCTTTTTCTTCTTCGTCTTCTCTTCGTCGACGTTCCAGGATGACGAGCTTCTTGCTAATCGCCGGTGTCGCTGGCCGCGCTCGAGGTCTCCTTGTAAGATTCCAACGTGTGCGTCACGCGATTCTACGTCTCTCTTGGAACGTACGACGACGACGACGACGACGACGACGACGACGACGACGACGACGACGACGACGACGACGACGACGACGACGATGAAGACGACGACGACGATGAAGACGATGAAGACGATGAAGACGATGAAGACGATGGCAAATTCGCGCATATTTCAAAAGAAAAAGAAAGGAAAGGTGGATTGCGGATAGCGACGGAAAAAGGGTGGGAGACATGGAGAATGCCACTCGGGTGAGAATGGAAAAACGAAGGAGATCCGATATATATATATATATATATATATAGAGAGAGAGAGAGAGAGAGAGAGAGAGAGAGATAGGGAGAGAGTGAGAGTGAGAGAGAAAACTACGACGACAAGGAACGTGGGAAGAACAGAGAGGAAATGGTTATCGAAAAGAATTCGTCGAGTGGTTCTCCTCTTCGAGGCTTCGGCCATTCATATCGAGCGCACCAGAGAAGAGTCTCTTTCTTTGTCCCTTTTTTTTCCCCTTCTCTTTCTTCTTTTTTATTTTTCCTTCCTTCTTTCTTTTCTTTTTCTTTTTTTTTTTTTGACTTTTTTCTTTCCTTTTTTTTTTTTTTTTATCGCTCCACAATTCACACAAGCCTCCCCTCACTCTCACTCTCACTCTCTTTCTCTCTCCCTCTCTCTCTCTCTCTCTCTCTCTCTCTCTCTCCTCCCTCTCTTCCTTCTTCTTCTTCTTTTCCTTCTTGTCTTCTATTTACTGGCACACGGACTTTCACCGATTTTTTTTTTTTTTCAACGATTCAGCGAAACGCTGAGATTACATTCTCTTCTTTATAAACGATACGAATGATTCTATTTTTTTATTACGTATGCACGTACAGTTTATGATTCACTTATCAATAATACGCTTTTAACGTTCGTAATATACAAATTCCACTTTCAAAGTGATAAATTTTTAAAGATGATAGAGACGCGAGGTCTTTTCAATGTCGCGCTAATGGATGACTAAGATCGAGAACGGGAATTTTCCCCTTTATAATATGCGAAATCTGTGTTACGTTAAACGCGATTAATTGGTATCATGTTCTAACAATAGTTCGATCGGAAATGACGTTGTTGATTCGTTATATACTACATATATTCTCGTTTAATCGAATTCAAGTTTTATCCAATTAATATAAGAAAATTATATGGATATAACTGTAACATCTTTTTCTTGTTTTTCTTTATATATATATATATATATATATATATATATATATATATATATATATCTTTAGTTATATTTTCAATAAATTTAATTCGATTAAATTCAATTTCATATCTTTAAAATTGTGCTATAATACTTATGTATTATATATCAGAAATATTTCATTTATAATAATATTTAATTATATAATACTTATATATATATATATATATATTATATATTAATGTTGAATAATTTTCTACGATAATGGATACGTTTTTATTTACGATGATTGAACGAATCAGAACAAATCTGTATTTTGAATCTAAATTTTTTTCTTAAGAATAATATATAAGAAAATGATCTGTTAATAATAAATCGTCGAATCATTATTCTGATCTTGATTGAGTAAAAGAAAATTATTCGTCATTTAAGTATAGTATAGTAATGAATCGTTTCTCGTTCGTCGTACGTTGTGTACATAATAGAACCGACACAGCGCGTAATCTCATCGCGTAAAAACATCGTAATGCTGAGTCGTACTTTTTAAAAAGGAGATTGCAAACGCGAGGGGAAGATAAAAGAAAGAAGTTAAAAATGCGCGCGAGCTTCACTCTCTCTCTCTCTCTCTCTCTCTCTCTCTCTCTCTCTCTCTCTCTCTCTCTCTCTCTCTCTCTCTCTCTGTCTGTCTCTCTTTCTCCCTCTTTGTTCTTCTTAATGAATAAAACGTGCGAGTTTATTCGCATACAAGCATTCTTCTCTTATTTCTCATTATCATTTCGTCACATTGATGTACCAATTGATATATAAGAAAAAGGACTTTCAATAAAAACGTGCTGATCAAAACAAAGAAAATAAAAGTTATATATATATATATATATACATATATTTTTTTTTTTTCTTTATGCTAAGACACTTAAAATAAAGTGATAACAAAAATTGAGAAGTATCGAATGTAAATCGAGATTATACAATCTAATTCGAAGAAATAAAACCTAAAGTCTTGTTATTGATTACGAACGAGAAGAAAAGATAAAACAGAGGGCGCGAGGTCTCACTTTCTTTCTTTCTTTCTTACTTTCTTTCTTTCTTTCTTTCTTTCTTTCTTTCTTTCTTTCTTTCTTTCTCTCTTTCCCTATTTCTCTTTTTATTCTTCTTAATGAATAAAACTCAAGAATATTAATCGTATACGGTTATTATTTATTTATACATCGCAGTATCTTTTCGTCGTAATTGATATAACAATCAGTATCGAAAAAATATTTTTTATATAATATCGTACGAAATGAAAGCAAAGAAAGTTATCGCGTACGACAATAAAAATATGTTTATTAAGTTAAACCTAATATTTAAAATATTGGGATAATAATAAGTAATTCGATTGAAGATCGAACGTATTAAGATACAATATATTCCGGAGAAATCGTTGGATTACTTGATTACGATTTACGTTGAATCGTTGAGTTTATTGATTACGAACGAGAGAGAAAGATAAAATAGAGGGCGCGAGGTCTATATCTTTCTCTCTCTTTCTCTCTCTCTTTCTCTCTCTCTTTCTTGTTATCTTTCTCTTTCTGTCTTTTTCTTAATGAATAAAACGCATGAATATTTAATCACATACATTTATTCTTTCTTATTTCGTTATATCTCTCCGTCATAATTGACCAATCTATATCAAAAAGTTTTATTTTTTATTTATTTATTTATTTTTTTTTTTCTTTTTTTTTTCTCTTTTTAATAATATTAAATGGCTTTAGATATATCAAAGAAAATAATTGCGTACAAATGATAATAATATTTTTATGACGTTATACATGTAACGCTTAAAATAATTATCTGTCTGTCTTTGTTAATGAATAAGACGTAAGAATTTATTAGCATATACTTTATTATTTTCCCTGTATCTTTTCGTTGAAATTGATCTATATAAAAAAAAAATTCTATATCGTGAAATATTTTGAATGAAAAATCATAAATCAAAGTGAAATAAAGAAAATAATATTATTATGACGTTATACATTTAACATATTAAAATATTGATAAAACAGGAACAAAATCATTCGTGTACGAATGTATCGAGATAGAGAGAATCCTTCGGAGAAATCGTCGGAAGTTGTTTTATACCCCAGGGAGAAGATCGATTTCTTTTAATCGATTCTCGCCATCTCGTAGCTTAATTCCATTCTGAAGGATCCGAAGGAAACGTTCATCTCGAATATTCGTTTGCTATATAAAGTAGTAAACCTCGAGGATACACGCGCCGGTGTTATTACATACCGAGTAAATTACTTACTTACGTATAGTAATAATTCAGTTCTCTTTTCTTTTTCTTTTTTCTTATGTATTTTCTTTTTCTTTCTCTCTTTTCTCTTTTCTTCCTTTTTTTTGCACGAAACATGTCGTAATATTTTTCTCTTTTTTATTTTTTTTTTGTTTTTTTTTTTTTTTGTTTTTTTTTTATTTTTTCCATTGAGAGAAATGCGGCACGTGGAGAAACAACGATAAAATATAATGACGCGGTTTTTGTTGATAAAGACCGAATAAAAACGGATTAATGCGACACAGGAAAAAAACGAAAGAGAAAGAGAGAGAGAGAGAGAGAGAGTGAGAGAGAAGAATGAGCATGTCTCGACGTAATAACCCAATACGTTCGTCGTAAGATCGATTTTTAATACGGTTCGCGTGTCGTTTGATAAAAGGAAAGAACTTCGTGCTAGTCAATCGGACAATGATCGCATTTGTTCATCGTATTTTCGAGAACCTTCTCTCACGAAAGCATTGCCGGACTATACCATCGAACATTTTTTCCGATCACATCCAAGGTTAAAAGTCCAAGGTGCATTTGTACACAGGTAGGTAGGTAGGAAGGTAGGTAGGTAGGTAGGTAGGTAGGTAGGTAGGTAGATAGATAGGTAGGTAGAATAGAGAGGTATATAAGTATCAAGTCGAACGATCTGGAATGGAAAAGTACAGAGGCGTATGAGAAAAGGAAACGTAAATCATGATGATGATGATGAGAGCTCTCAAACGAGATACTAGTTCAAATAGATCTCGAAGAGATAGATAAAAGGAAGGAAGAGAGAGAGAGAGAGAGAGAGAGAGAGAGAGAGGGAGAGAAAGGAAGAAAAAAAGATCATCGTATTGCAATGTCGCAACTTGTTTTTTTTTTCATTTCTTTTCTTTTTTTTTTTTCCTTTTCAAATTCGAATTCGTGCATCGTCGAACGAGATCCATCCAGATACTTACCCCTTAGACCCCTGCGTCGTTCGCCCCCAGACGCATCTCGTTGAGACTCATTCTTTTTTCTTTTTCTTTTCTTTTTTTTTTTTCTACATTCCATATCATGGAAAGTATTTTTTTTTTTTTTACAAAGAAAAAAAAGAAAAGAAAAGAAAGTCGTCTTCAAATTTACACGAGCAAATGTTTCTTCCGTATCATCTGGGGACTGTTCATCCCTTCCGATCGATACACAGTCTCCCTCGCAGCACTGCAAAAATGCGAGCCGAGTACGAATCAACCTATGGCAATGCGCCACGTGAATCCCGTGTAGGGATTCAAGGGATAGGAAGGTGACTCCCTCCCTTTCTCTCTCTCTCTCTCTCTATCTATCTCTCTCTCTCTCTCTCTCTCTCTTTCTCTCTATCTATCTATCTCTCTCTCTCTCTCTATCTCTACGGATGACGCATTAGCGCGTCATCCCAAGGATAGAAGGGTATGGGGTTAGTATGAATCAGGATCACCTTTTTTTGCCAAGTTTCACAGACGTCGAACTATTTTAAAAGGTGATTCTATATCGTTACGTCAGGGATGCACGTTAAAAGAAGTAAGGAAAAAAAAAGAAAGAAAGGAAGAAAGAAATAAAGAAAGAAAGAAAAAAAAAGAACAAGAAAAAAAGGTTCGCGCGACGATCATAATGACGTATATATGTACATTGTACCTGTATAGGATAATACAAATCGGAGGATGACTTTTAAATAAATTTCCATAACTTTAGTGTTCAGCTTATACATACATACATACATACATACATACATATACATACATACATACATACATATATATATATATATATTTTGGAGTGCCGAGATAATTAAATTAACATTTCGATAGGCGTAAAATTGATTCGAACGACGCTCTTGTCGAATCCACTTGTCGAAATCCGAAAACTCGATCCTTTTTTTCCTCCCTTCGTTTCTTTTTATTTTCTTTTTATTTTTCTACTTCTTCTATTTTTTTTTTTTCTACTTGCAGCTAGCAGCGCAACCAAGATTCAGGCCTAAGGCTGAATCCTGGTATAATCCTTAGGCGCCTATTGAAACGTTGTCTGTTTCTTTTCTTCATTTTTTTTTCTTCCCTCTCTCTCTCTCTCTCTCTCTTTCTCCTTCGTTGTCTCTTTTGAGTCATATTTGAGAGTGATTAAGTGATGCCCGTCAATCGAAGGAAGAGGAATATCCTACGCGTGGAAGCTTGCACGACAGAAACACAAGGTAAGATGGTTGCATCATCCATTCCAGTGAGAGGATAAATTTCTTAGAAGTCTCGGGGCTGATAGATACTTACTTACGTGTTGTGGAGCTCACGCATAAGCCAACGGCGCTTCTCTCTTTGGGATTCCGTATCGGTTCTCAGACTGGTTGGAGACGTGCGCATCGGTCACCACGTGTCCTAAGATATTGCGTCTTATTCGCCGTTCGTAGTTGTCCTTGAGAGCGAAATCGCCTTCGAGAGAGCTTGGACGCGTCGACGCGACCTTAACCCTTGTTTACCAGCGAGGACCAATAGATATATATATATATATACACATACATATATATATATATATACTTTTGAATCTTGATTCTTTGAGGACTTTCGACTCTCCGCGCTTCGTTCACGTCCATCACGAATGCATGAACAATAGGGTCCTTGATACAAAAAAAAAGGAAAAAAAAAAAAAAGAAAAATAAGAAAATGATAATTTGTTCCGATCGTATCATCCATATTTATCTAGTTCTTTTTTTTTGTTTGTTTGTTTGTTTGTTCGTTCGTTCGTTCGTTCGTTCGTTCGTTTGATCAGGAACTCTGATCGATATTGAAAAACGTACCTGGTAGTCAAAGGAATCGAAAGGACTAAATAAATAACTTTTACATATTTAATTGTACGATCATCTTTGTCTCAAATCGAGACCACTTACCAATGGATTACGACGAACTTTTGAACTTTCCTTTTTTGTTCGTACTTTTTCTCTTACCTTGACGATTACGTTTGTCGTACAATATACGTAATAATAACGTAAAACCATTTTCTTTTATTTTCTTTACTTTTTGCGGAAAAAACGCGAACTATCAGTATTATCTCATTATTTCATGGTAATGTATCGTACGAAAACTATCGTATTTGTCATTCGACTTACTTTCGTTTACTACCTTCCTTAATTCCCCTCCCTCTCTTCTCGACTCCCTCCGATCATGTTAGGAGAGATAATTTTTAGGAAAAGAGAAAGGAGTTTCCGGATTGGCGCTCCTTAATTATACCGAAGCAAAGTAAGGGGCTATGTCCATGATGGAAGTGTATATATATATACATATATATATATATATATCCATATATATACGTTCATAGAAGCACGTGTATATACGATGCGGAATTACATTCACGGTAGACGATAGACACGATTACACACGTGCATAGATAGGAATACGTATATATAGGTTTCTAGTATATGGTGTTGTGTATATGCGTTATAAAAGCCGCAAGTACGTTCGCCGTAGTACGCTGGGCGCGTTTTCCGCGTTCATTGCCCTCCGCTAGACTTGAGTTAACGTCTCGCACGAAAACGTGAGCGCGCTAGATCGGATCAAGGATTATAAGCCCCGTAAAATATATTTTATTCGCCATCTCGTTCCACCGGACAGATAACCATTACCAATCTCGCACGCCACACGTGGCGGAAACGTGCCGCGTTGACCGGCTGCACGGGTAGGTCCTCGTGACCACTTCAGAGGGAGCTATCGGTCCTGCGAGATACTTGACCCGAACGAACATACATGCACAAATAGAGAAAAGATATGTATATGTATGTGTGTGTGTGGTGCGGTGTGTGTGTTTGTTTGTTTGTACGCATGTGCGAATAATGTGAGTGTATATGTATATACATGTAAGATCTCGTTCGCACGTGGGAGCGTTTAAAGTTTTATTATCCTGAGATATCGTGCGAGATAGAACGTGGAATTTGTTCCGCAGTTAGAACCGTTTTAAATGAATTTCCGTGAAATAAGTAATTTTAAGGGGAAAATAGATAAGGAGAATGCATGGAAAGGTCGTTCGTAAATAGCTTTTTTTTTTTTTTGTTTATTTGATAATTAGTTTAATCGAACAACTTAACGCACTGCGGACGGTTCCACGATAATTCTCGTGATTTCCATTTCAGAGCTTGTGGTCAATCACGTGTGGAGAATTCTCATATATATATATATATATATGTATGTATATATTAGTTCGTAAGAATATGTAATAAATGATTTTAAAATGTAATGGATATTTAATTTTAATTGACCTGTTTATAAGATTTTATAATGATATTATAAGATGCTTATAAGTTTATAAGATTTATGTAAAACCTCTTTTTTGTTGTATTTATTAAACAAAAACATAATTGGCCATTGGATGAAAGCTAGGAATAAAATTTTTCGGAGTCCGCAAAATATTTTCTTTGTAAACAATGATTTATATCGAACGATCGACGAATCGTTTCGAAAATTTAAAAGAATTATCATCGAGATCGAAAGAAAATATATTTATATAATTTTTATATATATATATATATATATATATATATATATATATATATATATATATTATATCGTATAGATTATCGACGACGAAAAGATAGGTGGGATAGATGTATTAATTATTAAAGACGCAATAATAAGTAATAATATTTTTCTCAACATTAAGAATGCCGTCCTTCATTTCGTTACTTCGCATTTATTTCCCGTCTCTGTATATCGTATATATGTATAATTAAATAGATATCTCCTCGTTTAAAAGAATGAATAGCAGCCAGTCTGGTGTGTATTTTTAAAACCGCAACTAGTACGCGGCCCCGCATGGTCGATCCAGTATGCTAATCGTTAATGCGTCTCAAACGTAATAATAATGTTAAATCGCTTAAGTGTTTTGTTTATCGACATACGCGACAATAAATACATAAACATACAATGTAAAACGTATCATCGATTGTCTGACTCTAAACGACGTCGCTACTGTTACTACTACTACTACTACTACTACTACTACTACTACTACTATTATTATTATTACGGTCTCACCGATGATATATAGGGTGGGAATGAAAACGTTAGGGAAATTTGAATCTTTGGACGATATTGGAATGTAGATGTGTAACATCATTTCCTGTATTACGAGCTTAACCCAACGAGTTACTGTGCTCGATGAAATAGCAAACGAGGCAATTGGATTGACGGCCGTGAGAAAATAAAATGAAAGAGAGAGAGAGAGAGAGAGAGGGAGAGAGGGAGAAAGAAGGAAGAACGAATTATAATGTTTTTAAGAAATATAATGTTTATATTATGTTTTTTTTTTTTTTTTTTTTCCATCGTCAAACATAAATTATGGAAGTCGTACTCAAAAAAAAACATACACCCAGAGAGACGTACGAACGATCAAAAGATATCATTGTTAAATATATATATATATGAACGATTGTAACCACTTCCTTTGATATACAAAGTGTGTGGTAGAAAGAATTTAAAAAGAAGAAAAAAAAAAAACAAAACAAAAAAAAGAAAACAGGGCGCATTACGACGACCCTGGGATTATACAACGTGCATTCCTGTTTTCATCGGCTATTCATGCGTATACAAACGCACGCGTGAAATTACGTAACAATCGAAACAAAAAAAAAAAAAAAAGAAAAAAAAAGAAAGAAAGAAGGAAGGGGGGAAAAAAAAATAAGGAAAAAAGAGAATAAATAAAAAGAAAGAGAGAGAGAGAGAGAGAGAGAGAGAGAAACAAAAAAAAAAAAGAAAAGGAAGGTGCATGCTTACACTACACATGGACAAGAAAAAAGGGTGCCGCTCACTTTTGCTAATTCACCGTATCACTCTCTTGTAATCATTGTAATACATGCACGCTTTGAATCATTTATTCGTACGTCGAACAATAAAACGTTTAACAACATTGACACCTTGTTTCTAAGCTTTTCAATTAATCCCAATTAAAATGGGACGTATAGCGATATAAAATTTTACTCGTTCCCTTCTTTTTTTTTTTTTTTTTTTTTTTTTTAATTCAAACAAGTATATCTCTCTATTTTTCTTTTCTTTTGTTTTTCTTTTTTTCTTTTTCTTCCCCTTTTTTTTTTTTTTTTTTTTTTTTTTTTTTTTTTTTTTTTTTTTTTTCAAAGAAAGAACGAAGAGGTCTTCATAAGGGATACAAAGAGTTCATTTCAATAATGGCGACGTCGAGAGATCTCAATGAAATACTAATCCTAAGATTATTTCGAAATAGTACAACGGGCTTCGATTGTAATTGCGTCACTAACGACAACATAGAGGAGCATATATAGAATCACTGTCGCTCTCAGTGTAAACGGTAGTAAACGCGCTACGTCTAACAATCTCTCTTTCTCTCTCTCTCTCTCTCTCTCTCTCTCTCTTTCTCTCTCTCTCTTTCTCTCTCTCTCTCTATCTCTCTCTCTGTCTCTCTCTCTCTCTCTCTCTCTCTCTCTCTCTCTCTCTCTTCGTCCTCTTGTCTGTCTTTTCCTTTTTCGACGTGCGTGTTTACCCTCCCTCCCCTGTCCTCTCAACTCCACTCCCACCCTCGTCATCCCCCTTCTCTTTCTATCTTGATGTCACACGTCTCTGTATACGCTCGTATATATGCCTGTGACCACACTTGCTCGTGTACAAACAGCAAAGACATCCAATGCTAAATCACTTTCTTCCTCAAAGGATCGAAACGACTGTTTTTTTTTTCTTTTTTCTTTTTTTTTCTTTTCTTTTCTTTTCTTTCTTTTTTCTTCTTCTTTCTTTTTACTATGTCTCGTACCGGATTTATTAAGATTCTACGAAATATTAAACGCGTGTCTCTCTCTCTCTCTCTCTCTCTCTCATTCTCTCTCTTTGAGATTTATTAATTTGTTATTAGCGCAAAATCTCGTTCATTTATTAAACGTTCATTTTGTTATCATAAATATGTACGATCGATTGATACGGATCATAGATCCCTTATGAGAAATATGCTCTTTTTCTTTTTTGTTTCTCTTCTTCTTTTCTTTTTTTTTTTTTATTTTTATTTTTTCTCTTTCTTTTTTTTTTTACCCTGACTCGACCTGATACCTTCAAACATTGTAATTTGCATTTTATTGTATACATTTATTGCATGCATATATATCTATATATTTATATATACATATATATTTATATTTGTATATCGAGAAGTAAAAACCTTTTCTTTTTTTTTTTTTGAAAATTGCCTTATGTCCTATGACGCTCATCTCTGGATGCGATTCTCTCTCTCTCTCTCTCTCTCTCTCTCTCTCTTTTTCTCTCTATCTTCATCATTCCTTTTCTTTTTTTTTTTTTCCGCCCACTCGCGAATTGACGGACGAATGCAATAGTTCTACGAATAATATAATCTCACGCATCTCTGCGTCATCCGCCAAAGAAAATGTTAAACAGAAAAGAATTTTAATATATGGACACGATGGAGATATATCCATCCATAAAATGGACACTGAACGACTAGGCGT